ATAAAGCATTCCGGTAAAGCTGAAATGCAGAAGAATGCGGGGAAGAAGAAAACGCAAATCGCTATGCTTTAACATGGTGACTTCCGTTTTCTTCATCTCCGCAGTCTTCTGCATTTCAGCTTTACCGGAATGCTTTATTGGCTGACGCGGACGAAGTTCGTGAACCCGCCACCAGGACCAGGTCTGCTACTGCCCTATAGTGACAAGTACGAAAACTTCGTCCGCGTGAGCCAATGAGCGTCAGGGAGAAAACAGTTCAGGAAGCATTATTTTTCTTCTTTGGATCTGGTTTAAACTAGTGAAAATATCCTATTCCTTAAACCTTTAATGCAGAAGAATGCGAGGAAGAAGAAGAAAACGAAAACCACTATGCTCTTATGAGGATGTTGCCCAGTGTGGCGGAGCGTAGCGGGGAACCAAAACAAAGCAGAAAGCAACAAAAGAAAACTACGCGATACATCCAGAAAGCAGTATTTGACAAGGTTTCAATCAATGTGCAGCCTTTATATACACTATGCATTCACATAGCACTTCGAGAAACTAACTTAATCCGCGATATAAAGCATTCCTTCTCGTAGGTTATGGTGCTTTGTTTTGTTTCCCGCTACGCTCCGCCACACTGGGCAACTGCCTCATGTGAGGCTCCCGTTTTCTTGTTCGCTGCATTCTTCTGCATTTCAGCTTTGCCGGAATGCTTTATAGGGTACTCCGAGACTCTGCTAGAGCAGAAGGAGGATAACAAAAATTCGGAAACCGTCTCTTTGGTCAATAGGGTTTTCCAGGCTAAAGGGTATTTCAATGGAGCGCTGCCCGGAACTAAGAAGATCAAAACCGGATACAGAGAGCGGTGGTGGGGGCGGGCGCGCGGAGAAGCGGCGGGTAGAGGGGAGCCTGCCCGCCCTACGCTCCTCCGCTCGCCCGCCCCCACCACCGCTCTCTGTATCCAGTTTTGTTCTTCTTAGTTCCGGGCAGCGCTCCATTGAAATACACTATTTAAAATGGATGTGAAAATGAACAAACTCACAGATTTATCTGTTTTCGTTCGCCCATTATAAGAAATTACTATGGTAGTTGGGTCCGATCTACGTGCCTCCGCGGCCTCTTTCAGGTAAGAGAAACTGTCATATGAGTTTAGAGCTCCCCTCTTTAGGGTATTCCGCTGCAAGCGAACTGGAACCTAAAGAAGAAAAGTGTGACTGCTCGACCTGTTTCCCTCTGTGCGCTCATTGGCTGACCGCTCAAGTCACGCCATATTTGGCCAATCGGCCTTCAGGAGGAAACAGATCGGTTAGTCATGCTTGTCGTCTTTAGGTTCCGATTGTGTTGTAGCGGTATACCCTAAATGGAGGGGAGCTCTAAACTCACCTGACAGTTTCTCTTACCTGAAAGGCCGCGGAGGCACGTGAATGGCTCGACCAATAGACCATTCCACCGACTGTGGAAGAAGAAAGAAAAGAATCAAAAACCACCGGAAACAGTATTGATAAACAGGTCAAATCGTTCACTTTTTTCTAGTTTTCTTGGCCAAGATAATTATTCTGGACTTGTTGGTGTGCCATAGAGGTGTACACAAATGATCTACATACTGGTTTTCGGTACTGTTTCCAGTACTTTTTGATTCTTTTCTTTCTTCTTCCCCATTCGGTGGAATGGTCTATCGGGCCATTACGGAAACAGAAAGGTGAGTGCGTTAGATTCTTTTCCTACTTCCGTTTTATGTGGCCTGGAACACCCTATACAGCTTCTGACTACGACACTGAAGCACGGTCCATGTCTTTACGGCGTGGCCCGTACAAAATACATACAGGACGGACCGTAGGTGAAACGTACTTCCTTAAAGCATTTTTTTCAGTGTGCGGGGAAGAAGAAAACGGAAATCGCCATGTTTAACATGGTGATTCCCGTTTTCTTGTCCCTTGCATGCTGCTGTATTTCAGCTTTACCGCAATGCTTCATTGACTGATTCGATATCAAGATTTCCGCGCGTGTCGATAATCACACTCTAAACTGGTTGGCGTCTTATGACGCCATAACGCCAAAATATTGGTGTCCTCTGGACTGGAGCACGCCAAGACGTCAATATTTGGCGTTCTGAGGCGAAGAGCGCCGATATTTGGCGTTTAAGGCCGCAAACATTTGGCGTTCCGATAAGACGAACCCAAACCAGTTTTCAGTGCAGGATAGTGTCAGGATTTTGGAGTGAAAGTGTCAGGATAAATAAGTTGGTGCCGGTTATCTCCTTGCCGCCGGCCAGCGGCTATCGCTAGCCCTCAACAAGCAGGCCCGCCCTTCCGCCAAACAAAGTTGCTAGCTTCACTTCGCTCCGCAGGCAAGTCCGTTCGGTGAGGTTTGGTCATGAGAAAAGACTGTAACGGGTCGACACCAGCGTAGTGTCGACCCCCAAAACAAAGCTACATCTGGTTGCGAAACCCTTCCCCATAGGGTCTAGAGCTCACTGGAAATTCAAGTGTGTGAATGTCGCTCACCTGCAGGCTCACCTATCGGCTTTATTGGCTAAGCGATTAGCGAAGCGTATTACTCCACTGACCGAAAAAGTTTCATTCTGTTCGTTCGTTTGTTTTTGTTTGTCTGTTTGTATGCACGAAAACTCGAGGAAAAATTGAGTTAGCGTTCTGAAATTTCTAGGGTAGTTTTGCAACACCAAAAACTGACAGACAGCTTGAATTAAAAGACGGGCATTCTAGCCCAAAAATTGACTTTATACAAAATGTCATAGGTCGCAAAATTATTTTTATCGATTTTTTTATGGGTTTTAAAGTGGTAACTCGTTAAAGTAGGTACTTGCGGGTGAAAATTTCGTCCGTTTTGCTCTATTCTGTGCCTTTTGGGTGCTCGAGGGCATTTCTTGACGAAAACAAGATGAAAATGACCGAATGGTCTGTTAAATCGTAAAAATGGCTTCAAATCAATAATTTGTACCCGAAGTAATACTTTAACCACACATCTGGCGTTGAACTACGCCCTCCTTCGGGCTCAAGGGTCCCTTTACTATCTATCAGTAAAACGTTGATTTTTTACGTAACAATCTGTCAAAATCAGACCTTTCAATAATTGTCTTCATCGAATATCAGAAGTTTCATTTCCCTTATTTTAGAGTAACAAGTTCCCGGCAAATGCTGTTGGCACTGCAAATTTGGGGGCCGAATCTATTGAAGTGATTAGTTAAATGATTATTTCTTCGTGTGCTTACGATTGTTCGTTAAAACTTCAGGGGCCGATTAACGCGTTAGCGTTAGAATTTTTATTCTTCTTACATAATTTGTGGCTACAGCCACTTCTGTAATACAGATTTTGATAAAATTTTAACAAAAAATCAATCCAAAAATTAGATTTCATTTGACTATAGTCTCATTAAAATCCTTCTGGCCAATTTTGAGAAAATTAAAGTTAAACATCGAAATTATGATGAAAATCGGCAAAATCCTGCCAAGCCAACAACGGTTCTCACTTCTATCATTCTTTCTGTCGATCCCTGCGGCTTACCTTTTCACTTAACAGTTAAACGTATGAGACAAACATTCAAGACCGAAAATTAAGCTTCCGCACGATGTGTTCAAAATTTTCATGCGACGTTCCAGTGGAGAACGACAGCTTGCTAAATAATATGCGACATTTACGCTTATTCCTCGTGTCTTGTTGGCTGAGCGATAGCGAAGCCTATTACTCCAGTG